GAATCTAGAATTGACAAGTTGATGGATAGGATAGAAGGATTTTTAGATGGAGATTCGACCCGTGCACCTGGAAATGGCATTGAAGTTCAAGAAATCAAAGATCCTGTTAAGAAAGCCTTGTTTGTTAAAGAGATGCCAGTTTCTTCTGAAGGAATGATCCCACTCGATCGTTTGTAGGTCTTTATTGAAGGCACTATCAAAGATAAAAATGAAGTCTCCACCAAGTCTTCTCTTATGTATGCTAAGCCATACACTGCTAGGATTGATAACTTTAAAATGCCTACTGGTTATCAACCTCTGAAATTTGAACAATTTGAGGGAAAATGAAATCCAAAACATGTCGCGCACCTCGTGGTACACGGATCTCGAACATATGAAGACTATCTTGTCAAATAGTTTGTCCACTCTCGAAAAGGAAATGCCTTTTATTGGTACACGGATCTCGAACCTAACTCTATTGATAGTTGGGAGAAACTAGAACATGATTTCTCAATCTCTTTTATAGTACAAGGCACACGGTGAGCATGGTAGAACTCACAAATACTCGCCAAAGAAAAGATGAACCGGTCATTGATTTCATTAATTGATGGAGGAACGCGAGTCTAAATTGCAAGTTTAGGCTTAGTGAAGCTTCTGCAATAGAAATGTGTATTCAAGTAACGAGCTGCGATCTTCTTTACATATTGCAAGGAATAAAACCAAAATTGTTCGAGAATTTAGCAAATCGCGCTCATGATATGGAGTTGAGCATGTCATCTGTCGGAAAAGATATGACTATTGTCCATGATCCTCGTAAAGGAAGGGACAAGCAGGAACCCAATAGATGGAGCAAGTTTCTTTCCAGAAATGACAACAAAGAACTCATGAGTGTAAATGTATCACCCACAAAGTTCACTATGAATAAGGGCGTAAAACAAAATGTGAGAACGACTTTCCAAGCACGTTCAAATCAAAAGTCGACGCTAAGGGAGATGCAAGGAAAAAAGTATCCCTTCTTGGATTTTGAAACTTTTGAAATTTTTGATGAATTTCTTTTGTTAAAGCTCATTGACTTTCCAGAGATGAAGCGACCCGATGAAGCTGGAAAAACTGATGACCCAAATTATTGCAAGTATCACAGACTTGTGAGTCATCCTCTTGAAAAAAATTTTGTCTTTAAGGATAGAGTGAGGTGATTGGTTAGCGAAAATAAAATTATCCTTGATGATGAGAAGGCTACTTCTAAACAGATCCCTATCACGTTTGGGTCATTGGATCTGGTCCAAATATATTTCTCTAAAAAGCATGAAAAAGAACCAGTAGAACAGGACGTTGACATAGACGGTGATGAGGGTTGGATTCTTGTAACTAGGCGAAGACGCAACAAGTCAAGCTTAGGAAAAGAATTATCCGAGCAACCGGTTAGAGGAAAAATGGTGAAGAAATCAGAGAAGTAAAAATATATCAAGTGCTTCAAAAGGGCAAAGGTTGAAGTGCATCACTCCCAAAAACCTCGACGTCTTGTGACGCTAGAGGAATTCTTGCCAAATTCGTTCGACACAAAATCTACTCAAGCCAATGTCGAGGCATCATGTTTTAATGTGGATAAAGAAAAACCAATGAAGGTTCCTCCTACTGTAAAAGAAGGAACAACGAGTCAATCCTCACCAAAAGTGTCTCCAAGGGAATAAGAAAAAGAAACAAGGGAAATCTCAGAAATGATATCTCTTTCATCTTTTGAAAAATCTATTGAACTTTCTTCCCAAGATGCACATGTCTGTGTTACTAAAATCACATTTACAGATAACGATCTTCTATTTTGTAGAGAAGAAGATAAATAGAATCTTAATTGATGAAGGATCTGGAGTCAACATTTTGCATATCCACGCAGTGAAGGAACTTGGCATCACGACTAGGGAACTTAGTGAAAGTGCTCTATTGATACAAGGATTTAATCAAGGTGGGTAGAGGTCCATAGACTCTATTAAATTAAATATCCACATGGGAGATATGCGAGCAAGTAAGTGAATGCATGTGAGTGACGCAAAGATATCATACAATATATTACTTGGCAGGCCTTGGGTACATGAGAATAGAATTGTCTCATCTTCTAACTATCAATGTTTGAAATATCTTGAAGGTGGAATTGAAAGAAAGATAGTTGTTGATGATAATTCTTTGACCGAAGTGGAGACACACTTTGCGGATGCGAATTCTTATTTGAGAAGTTATGTATTTGATCGACTTGGTGAAGCGACAACAAAAATTTCTGGGTTTGAGAGGTTAGGTCCTCTTAAGAAGAATAACAAGAACCTTAGAAGTTATTAGAAAGTTACAACGCCTACTTCACAATTAATTCGAAAGGATTTCAGAAGTTTGATTCCTTCTAGGATGAGGCAACGAGTGTAACTTGTGGTTTCCTGTAAAGAGGAACTCAAGGCAAAGGTTCATACTGTGGTTTACACAAAAGAGCATGAGGAAGATGAAGAAAGTGTAGGTTCCTCAAACGATGTTACAATAAAAAATGAGTACGATTCTTTGCCTCAAATGAAGATTGAGGAAGAGGTAGAAGATATTGTCTCATGTTGTCATATATCTGTCAATGAAAATGATCCTGTGGAAGAGGAATATGCTAGAGATGCTCCACCAAAACTTGAAAAAAGAGTAAAGATCACAATATATCCTTTGAAGGAATTTAAACTTGGCACTGATGAAGATCAGAATCCAACTTACTTGAGTGCGTTTCTAGAAATTGATGAAGAAGTTCCTTACATAAATATAGTCAAAGAATATAGAGATGTCTTCGCTTGGAGTTATAAAGAAATGCCTAGATTGAATCTTGGAGTAGCGGTCCATCAATTGGTAGTCAAAAATGGTTCTCATCCTGTTAAACAAGCTCAAGACGTTTTAGACAAGACTTGATTCCGTTGATAGAAAATGAAGTTAACAAACTCATTGAGGCAGGCTTTATTCGTGAGGTCAAATATCACACATGGATTTCAAGTATTGTTCTTGTGAGGAAGAAGAATGGTCTAATTCTAGTTTGCGTTGACTTTAGAGATCTCAATAATGCATGCCGTAAAGATGAGTTTCCTCTTCCCATTCTAGAGTTAATGATTGATGCCACCACTGGTTATGAGCCAATGTCGTTCATGGATGGTTCTTCTGGATATAATCGAATTTACATGTCACCAAAAGAAGAATAACTCACTGCATTTCGCACGCCAAAAGGTATTTATTGCTACAAAGTGATGTCATTTGGTTTAAAGAATGTTGGCTCCACATATCATATTGCTATGCAAAATATCTTTGACGACTTGTTCAATAAAAATGTTGAATGTTATGTTGATGATTTTGTAGTAAAGTCGAGGAAGAGGGCTGATAATTTTAAAGACTTAAGGATGGTGTTTGAATTACTCCGAAGATATCAATTAATATGAATCCATTGAAATGTTCCTTCGGAGTTACATCTGGCAAGTTCCTTGGCTTTATTGTGAGACATCTAGGAATTGAAATTGATCAAGCCAAAGCTGATATAATATCAAAGAAGCATGCACCTCGAGATATTCATGAGATAAAAAGTCTCCAAGGAAAGTAAGCCTACTTGAGATGGTTAATCTCAAATCTAGCGGGGAGATGTCAACCATTCAGTCATCTCATGAAGAAAGGTGCTCTTCTTAATTGGGACTAAACATGTAGCGAAGCCTTTAAAAGTATCAAATTGTATCTAGCGAAACCTCCGGTTTTGGCAGCCCCTATACCTTGAAAACCATTGATACTCTACATTGCAGCACAAGAAAGGTTTGTAGAAGCCCTGTTAGCTCAAGAGAATAGTGAAGGCAAAGAAAATGCTCTTTAATACTTAAGTAGAACGATGACGCCAAATGAGCTAATTATTCAGAAATTGAAAATTTATGCTTGGCACTGGTCTTCTCAATTCAAAAGATGAAGCATTATTTTCAAGCTCATGTTGTCCTCCTTATATCTAGAGCAAATCCCATCAAGTTTGTTATGTCAAAACCTGTCCTTAATGATCGACTAGCAAGATTGTACCTCCAATTCCAATAATTTGAGATTGTGTACATCCCTCAGAAATCCATGAAGCGACAAGCACTACCGGATTTCTTAGCAGACCATCCTATACTAAATGATTGGGAGTTAACCAATGAGTTTCCTAATGACGATGTGACGTTAATTGAAGTTCAACCTCTTTGGAAAATGTATTTTGACGAGGCTACACATCGCGATGAAGCTGGTGCTGGCGTGGGGTTCATCACTTCACAAGAAGAGATTCTACCATTCTCTTTTACCCTAAAACAATGTTGCTCCAATAATATCGATAAATATCAAACACTGATACTTGGTCTTGAAATGGCCGTTGACATAAAACAATTACATATACATGTCTTTGGTGACTGTCGATTGGTGATGAATCAACTCTTAGGAAGTTATGAGGTAAAAAGGCCTGAATTGCGACCTTATCATGATTATGCTCAAAAGTTGATAATATGGCTTGGAGATGTAACCCTTCAACATGTGCGTCGAACAGAGAATAAGAAATCTGATATATTGGCTACTATAGCTTCACCGCTAACCCTTCGTGATCAAACGCATGTAACTCTCTTTCAAAAGTAGATAGTATCACCGTTGAATGACGAACAATATATTGAAAATAAGCTTGATCATATTGTCGCTATTGTTGAAGCTGCGAATTAAGATTGGAGACAACCCATTATTGACTACCTATGTTATGGGATACTTCCAGAAAATCCAAGAAGAAGAACTGACATACGCCGCCGTGCACCTCATTTCCTTTATTACAAGGATACATTATATAGGAGATCATTTGAGGGTATTTTATAACGATGTTTGGGAGAGGAAGAAGTGATTCAAGCTCTGCAAGAACCACACTCAAAAGTATGTGGATCACATCAATCTGGACTAAAACTTCACTTTCACACAAAGAGGATTGGGTATTACTGGCCAACAATGGTGAAAGATTGCTTATATTACGCTAGGAAATGCGATGCTTGTCAAATCTTGCGAATTTCATTCATCATCCACCCGAAGTATTGCACCGAACCATTGCATCTTGGCCATTTGATGCTTGGGGACTGCATATTGTAGGACCATTACAAAAGTCTTCTGGTGGACACTTGTACATCTTGGCTTCAAATGATTTCTTTTCAAAATGTGTTGAAGTTGTCACTCTTAAAGAGGTGAAGAAAGAGAATATTGCAAATTTCATCCGAGAAAATAATATATATCGCTTTGGTATCCCTCATTATATAATAACAGACAATGGCAAACCTTTTGATAAAAAGTTAATGAACAAGATTTGTGATCTTTCTGACTTTAAGAAGCGTAAATCTTCTATGTACCATGTTGCCGCTAATGGTCTTATTGAAGCATTCAATAAGACTCTATGCAACCTTCTCAAGAAAATTTTCTCCAAATCCAAACAGGATTGGCATGAAAGAATGGAAGAAGCTTTTTGGGTATATAGGACATAATATAGCACACAAACTCAAGCAACACCATATTCACTAGCTTTTGGAGTTGAAGCAGTCTTGCCACTCGAGTGTCAAATACCCTCCTTAAGACTTGCTATTCAAGAAGGGCTCACTGAGGTACAAAATGCTCAATTGCGTCTTTTTGAGTTACAAGCACTTGATGAAATGAGGTTAGAATCCCATCAAAAACTTGAATGTTATCAATCTTGTCTATCTCGTGCTTTTAAAAACAGGAGGTGATTTCATGTTGGAGATCAAGTTTTCGCGGTAAGAAGATCCATCATTAATTCTCACAAGTCTGGGGGGAAATTTATCTCAAAGTGGGATGGACCATATTTCGTACAAGAATCATATTTAAATGGTGCTTACAAGCTTGTTGATGCTGATGGATTAAGGATTGGTCCTATTAATGCTAAATTTCTAAAGAGATACTATCCTTGAAGTAAGATGATGCTCCTTAAGGGACGAACCTAAATTGCATGTCACTCCTGGCCGCAAGAGTATAAATTATGTACGGCACAACCACAGAAAAAATTACTCAAATCCCCAAAACAACGTTGTGACATGATCCTCTTTATTGAGGTACTTAGGCGCTTAGAACCATATTCCAAGTTCTGTTACATGAGTGTCAAAAAAAAATTCCACTTTATTTGTCGCATGAAAGTCAAAGAGATTTGTATTTTATTTTATCTTTTGTCTCATATAACTTTAGGCTTGTACAAAGTATTGATAGGTCAATGGAGGGGGAAACCCTTATAAAATATGAGTCTCTTATTAGTATGGTTGAAGTCTTTAAATTAGATCAAGTATGCAAATTGAAGTCTTTATATCCTTCGAGTTTATTATTTGAAGTACCCAAATTCTCTATGTATACAGGTTGATGTATTCAAATCGTCTAAGTATGAAGGTAAGACTTCAACTATGTAAGTAGAAGTCTCCAAATGCGTATGTAATTGAATTCAATGCCTAAAGGTGCGCGAGGTTTGTCCCTTTGTACCTTAAGCTTACTTTGTTGTGGATTATCCCTCAATCGATCGTTGAATTTTTATGTTTTAAGGTGGAAAAACTTGTCCATTTGTACCTTAAGCTAGGCCTTTTCACGGGTGTATAATTAAAATAATCTTTTTATATTTTCATGCCTTAAGGTGGACTAGATTTGTCCTTTTGCACCTTAAGTTGACCTTTTCACAGGTGTATATTCAAAAGGATCTTTATAAGGTGGATGATATTTGTCTCTTTGCACCTTAATCTAGCTTTGTTGCGAATTTATCCTTCAACGAATCTTTAAATTTATATGCCTTAAGGTAGACAAACTTGTGCCTTTGCACCTTAAGCTAGAGTTTCCACAAATTTATCTTTAAAAGATCTTTAAATTTTCATGTGTTAAGGTGGACAATATTTGCCCCTTTGCACCTTAATCTGGTCTTTTCATGAATTATCCTGCCTCAAGTTTGTTAAGTATTAGAGACCATGTAACACCTTGAGTTTATTTTCAAGGCAGGAGCGTTACACGGTATTTTAGTAAAGCTTCATGGTTAAAAATTCGGGACCTTGTAACGCCTTGAGTTTATTTTCAAGGCGGGAGCGTTACACGGTATTTCATTAAATCTTCAAGTTGGTTAAACATTCAGAACCTTGTAACACCTTGAGTTTATTTTCAAGGGGGGAGCGTTACACGATATTTTAGTAAAGCGTCAAATTGGTGAAGCATTCGGGATCTTGTGACACCTTGAGTTTGTTTTCAAGGCGGGAGTGTTACACGGTATTCTAGTAAAGCTTCATGGTTAAAAACTCGGGACCTTGTAACACATTGAGTTTATTTTCAAGGTGGGAGCATTACACAGTATTCTAGTAAAGCTTTATTGTTAAAAACTCGAGACCTTGTAACACCTTTAGTTTATTTTCAGGACGGGAGAGTTACATGACATTCTAGTAAAGTTTTAAATTTGTTAAGCATTCGGGGCCATGGAACACCTTAAAAGTATTATTTATTTATTTTATTAAGGCATGGACGTTAAAAGAAAAAAAAGAAGAAGAAGAAGGAGGAAAATACAAGTAAAGGAGAGATTGATACCCGTCAAGATTTTTGAGACCCGAAGGTATAAAATCTGGAATCTTGGATGTGTTGTAGACCTTTATTTCTAGATTCGGAATCATCAAACGTATTGTGATTTCGTTGCTCCTACGTCAACACATGAGAGTTTTAGTAAGTCATAGAAATCTAAAACATTTTAGCATGGCAGAATCTAGAGTTAACTTCAAAAAATCATCTAGAAAGAGTCTTAAGGTATTAAATTTTGAATTTTGGATATGTTAGAGATCGAAAAGTCTAGTTTCTGAAAAATTAAATGGTTCATTATTTTGATTTTTCTATAATTAGATATGAATTTTCTTCGACGGACATGTAAGGCTGTAAAAAAGTGACGAATTTTTAGCATGACAAAATCTAGAGCTAACTTCAAAAAATCATCTAGAATGATTCTGAAGTTATTAAATTTTGAATTTTTGGTATGTTAGAGATCGAAACGACTAGTTTATGAAAAATCAAATGGTTCATGATTTCAATCTTTCTACAATGAGATATGAATTTTCTACGACAGACATGTCAATCTGTAAAAAAGTGACGAAAATAAATAAAGAAGGAGGAAAATTACCTTGAGTATGCCCTTTTCGTCGTAGGCTTACAATCTTTTTTTGAAGATAAAATTATGGAGACAATTTATCTATTTATATATGTCATGTGGTGGGATAAAATTCATCTCCCAATTCAATTACAATTTCTTCCTTTTTTGACAAATATATATGTGTGTGTGTGTGTGTGCGCGCGCGCGTGTGTGTTTGCGCGTGCATGCGTGTGCGTGTGTGGGTGTGTGTTTTGTGTGTGTGTGTGTGTGTGTATGTGTGTTTGTGTGTGTGTGTGTGAGAGAGAGAGTGTGTGTGTGTGTATGTGATTGTGTAAATTAAGTAGGATTACAATTGTTAATTAGATTAAAATTCATTTTTTGACTAAGATGAATTTAGTAACAGGTAAATGCTTCAAGCCTAGTCTCTAAAAGATAAAATATCTCGACAAGACTTGAAGTAGGGGGCATTTATAATCATTTAAAATTTATTAAATAAAAATTTATAAAGTTATCCGGATTATATTGAATTCATAAATATATTAATCCAAATAAATATTGTGGATTGATATAATTGAGTTAAATATTTAAGTTCAATAAATATGGATTTAATTAAAGTCTAAATTAATTGATTTGGGCTACGTTGGATGAACCCAATTTGTTAAACCCAATCCCATCTCTTTCTAGAGCCCATAATGGTGCCACGTGTGCAGATGATGTGGCATGCCAAGTTAAATAAGAAACCAATAGAATCATGACATGTGTCAAAGATGACAAGCCCGCTCCATAATGCCCAAATGACATGTCACTTAAATCTGACTGGCTGAAAAGAATCCTATTAAAATCGCAACTCCTCTATTCTAAAATTATAAATACGGGTGCTCATAATTCAGAAAAGAGACAGAAAATTCTAAACAAGAAGCTAGAGAAACTCCGTGGTACAAACGCCATCTAATTCTCTAAAAAGCTACAAGTTTAAGAATTCAAGCATTCAAGTTCAAGAACGATAAGGATCAAGACCACCAAATTCAAGAACAAGCTCAAAGCCCTTCGATTCATATAAGAGTCAAGATCAAGATAAAGTCGAAGTGCAAGTTCATCATAGATTCAAGAACAAGCTTCAAAGCCCTTGAATTTATATTTGAAAAGGCGAATTCAGAGGAATTATAGAGATTGTAACACTCGCATTTGAAATAGTAAAATTTATTGTTGCTATAACTTTCCGTTCTAGATTATTGTTTTCTCGACGCGAATTTTATTGTCTACAATTATATTTTCTATTTTCTGGAAATTTCATTGAATATGTTGTAATTGTTATTGAAGTTGGCGTCTTTATACACATCAATTGTATTAGATAATTTAGACACATGATTTTGGTATAGACATGAAAAGTCATATATATAAAAGAGTTACTTACACATATATAAGAAAGTACAATGTGTTTAGTGTTGATAATTTTAAATTTGTAAATCATCTTTATTGTGAAGCATGGCCAATTACGATCCTGGGTCTGATCAATAGCTATTACTGTTAATTATATATGTATTTTTAAAATAAATGTTATGTGATTATGGAAATCAAATTATCTTTAAAACTCTTAATATGACTTTATCCATAGGATTTCAAAATAAAATGATGTTATGAATCTATTTTAGTCAAGTGCTCTTTATTTCTATTTAGTATGTCGAAGGACTTATGAATTAATAGAAAATCTATAAAGAAACGATAAAAAAATATCGATATAAAATCTATTGTCATTGAATTTGTTGTATAATTATTATTTTCTTGAGAACTTATAAATATTATTATAGTGCATAAACTGCATAATGGGTGCATAATTTCTTCTATTCTTATAATATAAAAAGATAAAAATTAATTTTTTTGAATTAGTGATAAGATAATTATTTTATGTTTATTAAAATAACAAAAGTTATGTATGCGGTTAGTTTTATATATATATAGGGCCATTCTGAATGTGCAATGTTGACATTTTAAAATTTATTTATAAAACATATAAGATTAATTAAAAGATGAAAATTTTGAAATTTACAGTTTGGAAGATGGTTATAACTTCTTCACACTTTCTATAATGTAGAATTTTAGCAAATATTAATGTGATAGCTGACACGCTCATTTAAAATATGTTAATCCGTATTACTTCTTCAAATTGAGTTATTATAATATCATAATTCTTTTTTCTGAAGATTGTATAGGTAAAAGAAACAATTCAACATTTTATAGACAATTTTAAAAAAATAATAGAAAATGAATTTACTTTTACCAAAATTTTTATTTTTAAGCTATTTTTTAAAAATTTCATCAAGATATCTGTCTTGACGTATTTTCTTTAATCTTAACAATTTTTTTGAAATGATTAAA